AGCCCGGCGGCAGCGCGGGGCCGGGGTCCCGCCGACGCTGGGTGACAAAACGGGTCCCGGGATCTTGATTTTTGTCACGGTGGGTCCGACGCGCTGCTCGGGGGGAGAGCAGAGCTAGCACACGGCAGGCAGGCGCGTCAAAGCAGCCCTGCGGGCGATAGGGATCAGAAGACGGATGTCGCAAACGTCTCCGGGGACATCATCAGTGAGAAACAGTGACACATTCTCCGCACGGGAAAAACAGATTTTTCTAAAGTGAATGTGATTTGGAATGCTGTGACTAGCGTTCCTCAAAAATGCAGATGGGTAGTGCGCAGACGTGGCGCATGAACTTGACTTAGTGTGTGACTAATACTGCCTCGGGAAGATCTGTTGCTGGCACTAGGGGGATGAAAGACGGCGGTGATGGTTTGAAGTAGAAACATCTGCTTGCGGACATTGGGGTGGTGGAGGCACTAAAGGCATCTGCTTTACTTACGTGGTTCCTGCTCTTTTGAGAAGCTGGAGATGAGCAAGTGTTTCAGGGAATGAAAAAGTAGGGAATCTAATATGTCAGTACGATGCCCAGAAACCTGGATCATGATTAAATGGTGAAAGTCAGTAGTCCTGAACCCATAAGGACAGCAGGGAATCCTGCCAAGGTTTCTTGTGTGTACCTGCCTTGAGTGAGTGTTTGCTGAAACAGAACTGTACTTGTGCTGTGCTGTTCAGATAACTCTTGTATAAGGTGATGACACATCAGTGAGTAGTTATTTTGTGTTTCCCATGGTGAACAGGAGCAGTCTAGTGGAGAAATCATTACATTTCTGAGTTGATCACACCTCTCAAATTTTTCTGTGGGAAACCTGGTCAATTTATTCTCTTCCAGTGCTTTCCACTTGTAAAAGTTCTTCTCTCCTTCAAGGTATCAAGTATCAGTCTCTTCTTTGTCCCTTGCTTGCTTCTGTCCCCACTTTTCTGATGATCTTCTGTATGGAATCTTGCTGTTTTAATGCTTAGCTGTGGTTTGAGGATCTGCCTTATAGAGACTTCTCTGTAGCAGACAACTGGTTGAGGCCTGAGGCAGCGTGTCATCAGATCTGACCTGTTTGTTACTGAATTTGCCCAAATGATTTGGCGTCTTCAGCCTTTCTCTCCCTCTACTCGCTTTCCAGTTTAGCTTCCTTTATTTTTGGGCTGCTGTTGCCTGGTAAAATACTGCTAGGGGGAAGGAGGAACATTTTAGATTTTATCTTTGATTCTTAACTTCAAAATAGAAACAAATTTGTGCACAAGTTGAGTTTGTTTTGCCCCGGTTCTATCTTGACCCACAAGCTTTTAATCTTACTTCCTCCCCCTATCCTGCTAAGGAGGGGGACTGAGAAAGGCTGAGTGGGTGTCTGACAGCCACCCAAGGTCAGCCCACGCCAGAAGCTTAAAGAGACGCCCCAGATTTTGGAGCAACAGGATCTGTAATTTCTCTGAAACTCACAGCCTTTGCTGCCTGTTCTTTCTTAATTCTGTGATTACTGGTACAAGGATTTGTATGAATGCTGCTTTGTTAAAAACAAACAAACAAAACAAAACAAAAACAAAACAAACAAACAAACAAACCAAGAATAAAGGCAATTCATTTGGCTGGGCTGGAGGAGTGGAGACTAAGGCCTGTCAATAAATGAGGAGGAAATCTTTTTCTTCTAGCATGTGATTTGAACAGTATGGACACCTAGAACTTGAATGATTTTCATATGTGTCTGAGAGATTTATTTCCAGTGTTTGACTTCTGATTCCAATGCTATCTTTCCACAATGTAGGAGGAAGAATTTAAATGGCTTTTGCAAGAAGAAGTCCATGCTGTTTTGAAACAGTTGCAGGATATTTTGAAGGTGAGGTTAATTTGCTTCATATATTTTTTTTCTTTGTGCTGTGAGTTTGTTTGCTCTCCAGTGTGAGGAATGGTGGTAGATTTCTCCTGCAGGAAAAAATTCTTGGTAGAGGGCCCACAGAAAGGTCCATTATGCATGTCCGGTGCTGTCCCAAGTGTTTGCTTGCCTTCTGGCCTCAAGGACTCACAGTAGACCTGATTTTCCCTGGCCTGCTCTGTTCTGGACCCTTTTTCTGAGAGAGCTGCTTTGACAAGGCACGTGGAGGCAGCCAGGCATCTCTGCCAGGCATTTGCCTGCAATACAGATATTTCCTCAGAGAACTTGTGTCTGCCCATAACTGTCACGTGATTGTGGAAATGAACATGACTGCCTTTAGCTGGCAAGCTGCTGCTTGTGCAGTAATTAGTAGAGTGCACACTCCTCATTCAGAACCATCCTTCCCTTGGTGCACCCAGTTCTCTTCTGGTACATGTCCCTTTCAGAGCTGCAGAGAGCAGGGGCAAAACCGTGGAGAAGAGGGGTGGGTGCGAAAGGAGGTCGAAGTGCCGCAGTGCTGATCCAGGATGTGACTCAGTAGCAGGTGGCAATAACCTGCAGTATCTGTATATATGTCTGTTTTGAATTTGCTATAGTTTTAAGGGTGAAGTGTGACGAAAGGGCAGTCATCAGCCTGTCTAACCACTCAGAATGGCTGGGTTTCACTCCAGACTTCCCATGCGGGTAAGGGGCTGGCTGTGCTTGTGCTGTGCAGCTCGGGGCAGTGCCACAGCGCCTGCGGGCATGCAGGGCTGGGCAAAGAGCCACTCCTGCTGCCAACAGCTTGGCAGCCCTGCTGGCCAATAGCCACCTTGCCTGGTTGCGGGGGGGCTCAGAGCTGGAGCGTGGGACTTCCAACACATTTTTCCATGAGCTGCATGGTCTGAGTGTTTCTCCTGGACTGCATCTGTCTGCAGGAGGCTGAGGGAAAATCTGCGTGTTCTGCCAGATGGGAGGCGGAAGGCTTGCGAAGGGGGCCGGTCTGCATTCCCCTGCTTGCCAGCCTCTACATTCCTGCCCCTGCCTTGTCTTTGTTTCTGGCTTGTACTGTGCTGGGCCCAGGCAGATGCTCGAGTACTCACTTTGTCCTCTCTTGGGCAGGAGGCCTCTCAGCGGTTCGCCCTGCCCGCAAGTGGCTCCGGAGGAGCCATCAGACAGGAGAACTTTGTGCTGAGCACCTTGGGGTAAGTGGCTGTGGTGAGTGGGGCTGCTACGGGGCTACCAGCTCTGCTCCCAGCATTGCCCAGGTCTGTGTGTGGGATGCTCCTGGAGTGCCTGCAGCAGAGGCCTCTACAGCACCCCCAAGGAAAGGGGGGGTCTTTCATGGAGTCATTAAGGCTGGAAAAGACCTCTAGGATCATGAAGTCCAGCCATCAACCCAATGCTACCATGACCACTAAACCATGTCCCTAAGTGCCATGTCTACATGTTTTTTGAAACCCCTCAAGGGCTGGTGACTCCAGCACCTCCCTGGGCAGCCTGGGCCAATGCCTCACCACCCTGCCAGGGAAGAAATTCTTCCTAATAGCCAACTGAAACCTCCCCTGGCATAACTTCAGCCCATTGCCTCTACTTGGGAGAAGAGACCAACCCCCACCTCACTCCAGCCTCCTTTCAGGGAGTTGTAGAGAGCCATATCTCCCCTCAGCCTCCTCTTCTCCAGGCTAAACAATCCCAAGTCCCTCAGCCTCTCCTCACAAGCCATGTTCCCCAGAGCCGTCCCCAGCTTCGTTGCCCTTAAAGTCTTTCTTATCCTGTGGTGCCCAAACCTGACCCCAGGACTTAAGCTGTGGCCTCCCCAGTGCCAAGTCCAGGGGCACTGATATTTATTTATATTTCATATTTAATATGAGATTTCACCTTAGGGAAAACAACATGTAACAAACTGTAGCCGTGTTCCAGGGGCTGCTGTAGCCAGAG